AGCTATAAGCAGGGGTTCGGTGTTTTCTCGATTGAAGAAGTGGGTCAGAGTCGGAAGTGGTGTTTTGGCCAGGCCTTCTGGTCGGAGAGGCCATCCGGAGGTGGGCTGGAGACCGAAGCGAGCGCTCCAATCGGAGAGGCAGGCCGGAGTCGGAAGCGGGCGCCGTTCCTCCTCGGCTAGGCCTTCCGGTCGGTGATTGGATCGCCCTTCTGGCCTGTTGTTTTTAGGTACTTGGGCTTGCCCAAGAGTTGCGCATCGGTTCGTAACATTGTCTGCTGGGCCAAGCCTTTGCTAGGAAGCCGGTCCATGAGGGACCCCGGGTTTATGAACCCGACATCTAGTGACACAGTTACCTAAGGAGTTATGTACTGAATTGGAGCATCTTAATTTTGGAATAGTTGCTAATGCGATGGAATTGGAAGTGGAACCTACACTTGAACAAAGAGATCCGCAAGGGTCAGTTGGAAGATGAGAAAATCAAGGAGATAGCAAAACTTATCACAATTGGCAAAGCACCGGTTTTTCGATTGGATGATCAAGGAACAGTGTGATTCAGAAAGAGAATATGTGTGCTAGAGATAAAGTCCATTCGAGAGATGATTCTAAGAGAAGCTCATGACTCAGCATACTCTATCCATCCAGGAAGTACTAAGATGTACCTAGATCTAAAGGAGAAGTACTGGTGGTATGGTTTGAAAAGAGATGTGGCAGAGTATGTAGCAATATGTGACACATGTCAACGAGTCAAGGCAAAACATAAAAGACTAGTGGGTTTACTTCAACCTATGAAGATACCTGAGTGGAAGTGGGAAGAAGTTGGTATGGATTTTATTGTTGGATTACCACGAACACAGAGTGGTTATGACTCAATTTGGGTAATAGTAGATCAGTTGACTAAAATTGCTCACTTCATACTGGTCAAGGCTACATATACGGGTGCAAAGTTGGCAGAATTATACATGCAACGGATAGTATGTTTGCATGGAGTTCCTAAGAAGATTGTGTCAGATAGAGGCACTCAGTTTACATCACACTTTTGGAAGAAATTGCATGAGTCTATGGACACTAAGTTGAACTTCAGCTCAGCTTATCATCCATAAACTGATGGACAAACAGAGAGAACCAATCAGATCTTAGAGGATATGTTGAGAGCTTGTGCTTTGTAATATGGTACAAGTTGGGATAAGAGTTTGTCTTATGCTGAATTCTCCTATAACAATAGTTACCAGAAGAGTCTCAAGATGGCACCATTCGAGGCACTATATGGTAGAAAGTGCATAACTCCATTGTTCTGGAATCAGACAGGAGAAAGTCAAGTGTTTGGACCTGAGATCCTCAGGGATGCTAAAAGGCAAGTGCAGACTATGAGACAAAACTTAAGAGTGGCACAGTCAAGGCAGAAGAGTTATGCTGACACGCGAAGAAGAGAGTTGGTATTTATACCTAGAGATTATGTCTATCTCAAAGTGTCACCCAAGAAAGGCATAAAGCGGTTTAATGTGAAGGGCAAGTTAGCACCTCGCTACATTGGTCCATTTAAGGTTCTGGAAAGAAAAGGAGAAGTGGCTTATTAGTTGGAATTGCCAGAGAACTTGTCTAGGGTACATGATGTATTCCATGTGTCTCAACTGAAGAAGTGCTTGCGTGTGCCGGAGGAACAAATACCTTTGGAGGAGCTCAATGTGAAAGAGGATCTTACCTACAAAGAGTATCCTGTCAAGATCTTGGAAATAGCTAAGAGAGTTACTCAGAGTAAGGTGATCAGGATGTGTAAGGTTCAATGGAATCGATACTCAGAGGAGGAGGCTACTTGGGAAAGAGAAGAGGATCTAAAGGCGGAGTATCCACAACTTTTTGAGGCAACATCTTCCGAATCTCGAGGACGAAATTCATTTTAAGGGGGGTAGGTTTGTAACACCCTAAAATTTGCTACTTTGGAAAAGTAGTTAAATCTATTTAATTTTAAAATTTTGAGCACATGAAACATAGGAAAGATAACAAGTTTTATTAAATTAACATTTATCCTAGGGTGTAGCAATATTGTTGTGCATACATGCTAGAACATTTGATTTATTGTGATGAGTGGTTTTGATCTAAAATTCAAAATGATTCAAATTGCTTTTAAAATGGTTTTGAAATAGGCTTTGAAATAAAAGAAAAGAAACAAAAAAATGGAAAACTCTACTCTCCCTCATTTTGGCCCGAAGGCCCACTCTCCCAGCCTATCTCCTCACCCACCTTCCTGCAGCCCACATCGGCCGGTGGCCTAGTCAGCCGGGCCGGCCCAGCAGCCTGGTGGAGAAGCCCACACACCCCTCCTCTCTGCTCTGACAGCCGAAGCAGCCCCATGCCCCAGTCAATGACAAGTAGGTCCGCGCCGTCAGCTTCCTCTCTTATTCTTCTTTCTGTGGCCGAGCCGGGCTCTGCTCGTAAGTAACCACTGCCGCGCTGGAGTCCGCTGTCGCCCGACCTCGCCTGGATGGTGTGCGCCCCACGCTTATCCGCCCCCTTAAATAGTAGCCGCGGGTGCCGCGCCGCCCCATCTAACCTTAAGGCAGCCGCCTCGCTCGTCAAGTCGTTGCACCACCGCTGCAACCCTAGCTCGCCGTCGCCGCATGTGATTCCGCCACGTCGTGCTCCGCCGTCGATCTAAGCTGCTCTCCGGTCTTCGTAGCTCGGTTAGGAAGCCTCCAGGTGTCTGCACTCGCCCTCTCTTGCTCTCATTTACCTTCACGCCGCCGCCGCTACTTCACCGGAAGGTCCGAGCCACTTGAGCAAGCCCCGCGCCGCCCTTGTGCCATCTCAACTCTCCCAAAGCCCTAGATCAAGTTCGCCTCGCTCCCCTCGTTCTCCCAGTGCTTTTCTCGTTGAAAACCGTGGCCCGTATCCTATTTTCCGAGCTTCGTCGCCGGCAATGGCCGACCGCCGCGCGGCCCTCTGTTCTGGCCAGCCCGAGTCCTAGAGCCACCGCAGCCGTTCGATTCATGATCAATGGTTGAAAATAGAAGATACCCCTTCGTTTGATATTTTGCTAAAGAGCCCCTGCGCTTTCCTATTTTCGAACCCACCGTCCCTGTATTTTTGCTAAAGAGTCCCAGAGCTTCTATTAAATAGAACCCACACTCCATAGCGTATTTTCAGAATACGTTTACTTATTTTGAAAACGTAGTTTCCTTCGGTTTAGATCCAGAATACGTTTCCATCTATTTACAGTTTTGCTACTGGTTTCTATAGGCCATAACTTTCACGTTTTAGCTCCGTTTTGATCCGTTCAACTTGCGTTAGGTTTGGAATTCCATAATCTACGTGTTCATACTACTCTTAAGCATGTTTTTAACATTTAAAACTTGAGGTTAGCTTTAATTTATTATTTTACTAAAGGAAATCTGGTTTAATTCATAACTTCTTCGTTTTAGCTTCGATTTTTGTGATCTTCGTGTCTGTGTGCTCGTAGCATCGCGTAGAACAGTTTTAAAACCTTTTTAACTTCTATTTCTACTGTTTGGTTTATTGTTCTAATTAGCTTATATTTGTTTGCTATGCATGTATGTATGGATGCCCGTGTGGTGCTGTTTGATCTCGAGTAGACAGTAAGTTTTGTGTTGGTGATCTGGAGCAACTCTTTGAGGATCAAGACTAGCAGCGATACTTTGAATTAAGGCAAGTATAATATGAGGCTCCTTGTTATCTATTCACTTTAATGGTGAAAGTGTACAACCTCTGCAGAGCGTAAAACTGGTATATCAGCCGTACTCAAGGACACGAGCGGCCTGGATCCTTACTGAATAGTTGGTTACTCGGATGGTTTGGGTTATAATTAAAATTGACGATATCTCTAACTATTCATATTTGGGAGGCTAAGCATAACTCAGCAACTTATAATTAATAATAAAATATGACCAACTAAAAATAATTACCGCAGTTCAGCTGTGTCAAGCCTTTTGAGCCTGCATCCCCTCATATTATGCTTGCTAAGCGGTAGTAGCTTACGCTTGTTTTATTTCAATATTTTGGCAAAATCCCGGATGGGTACCAAATGGAGGTTCTTCGGTGGACTTTTCCAAGAGGTGTTAGGCTTGTGATCAACCAGTTGACGATTCCTATGGTGTTGGAGGCTTCACTAGAAGAATAGAGTTATAGTATATACTATAAAGTAAGATTATGTCTTTTGTAACGAATATTTATGCGCTATGTAATAAAGGCATTGTCTTTGATATTACCCCTTCATTTGTAACTATATGTGTGAATTGAATTTCTGAGCACACATATGATGTGTATCTGGTTTTGTCATTAAAACCTGATGCGACACAACAACGGTTCAATAGGAACAAATGTGTACCTTTCTTTCCCGGGTCAAAGTGCCAAAGAGGTCAGGGCAAGGCTACACGACAAAGACCAGACTCAGAGGCAGCTCTCACTCTCAGCTACAATTCATGGGGACATTTCTCAAGAAATAAGTTAAGGAAGAGGGATTCACTGGACATAAGCAGCAGACTGCATGTATGAACATAGAAGATTGACAGCACCTCAAATGATATTGTCAAGCACCATGAGATTTCACATAAGTGAACAAATGTCATTGGGTCCATCTTCCTGAAAAAAGCAGCATGAAACATAGTTGCTTGTCTTAAATAAGCAGCATGAAACAATTCAAGCGGTTGATAATTGATAATTGTACCCTCGGGAGTCAATGGGTGAAAGCATTCACATGCATATGATTTCCCTTTCTCATGTTGATACATGTGCAAGTACACAATTAACATCAAAATTTCTTTACACAAGCTGCATCCATTATTCAATTTCTATACAGTGTGTACCAATATCTATCAAGTTTTGCTTCGAGACACCATTATTCAATTTCTATACAGTGTGTACCAATATCTATCAAGTTTTTGTTCGAGAGGTTGATAATTGAATCTGCTATGACCCGAGCACTTGACTTCATATAACCTCCTAAGGAGATAGAGATTCAGAGAGGACAGACACATCGTCAGTAGGTCTCAGTGAATATAGCTAAGAGTCAAGGCAGATGAAGTTAAAGAATGAAGAGCACAATCCCCACCTGATGTCAGCATGAGGAGAGGAATACTCTGATCCTTTGCAAACCTGAAAACCTTTTCGTCTCTAATAATCACACCCTCTGGGCTAACCTGGAAATGATGGAAATTTTATATGAGCAGAATAGGACCATTCATGCATCTGTAAGCAGCTTTGGAAGAACTACAACCTATACGCCACTGCAGATATGTACATTTACATGTTACATGAATGCTGCGAGAAAATGTGAAGAAAATGTGAAGTTTGCATGAAAAGCATACCTTTAGGCTGCCTAAAGGATCGCCATCTAGGATATCAGTTCCAGCATTGTACAGAATCAACTGGGGCTGAAATCTACTTTCAGCTACCTGCAAACAACTAGGATCAGTTAATGACAGTTTAAGTGGCCTTGCCAGTTCAAAGCAGAGTAACAGAACAGTCTATTTAAGCTTGCCAACGATGTATATAGGAAATTTGCGTTCATGGTTTATTTTTCAAACAGGTGGAGCCATTTTGAACAGGCCTACAAATTTATTTAGTTGGTAGCAACATGCAGGGAATTTGTTGGGTGAAAAAAGTTGCACAAGAGTGTATCATTTATTTAATTGGTAGTACCTAAGTGTATCATTTATTTTCCTGTTTCTTTCTACATGCTCTTGTTTCCGTAGACAATGGAACCAAATAAACAAATAAATGCAAATCACGAATAGGCATGCTTAAGATCTTACTGGTGTGAACTAAACTACACACTAGACACTTTTGTTGCCTAAGAAAAAGGCGCCTGGATGTATATTCCCTCTTCCATATCATAAGTTCATAACAGTATTGCCACTCAACCTCAAATATTAGCATGGTGTTTTACGTGAATATCCCAATCAATCAATGGTTTGCACTTCTCTTCGTCACGAGATTGTCTGCCAGAAATGAGGGAGGTAGAGTAGAACCCTGAACTCAATCTCCCAGCCCTTTTATCCACTATATTTCTTTCCGTAAAGGAACAGAAGGAGAAAGCTGTTCTGAACCATAGTATTTTAGATCTCAGCGCTTAGGGAGAGGAAGTAAATTGATATTAACTGCCAAAAAATAAAAGTGAGAAAATAAAGATTGTTTTATTGCCAAGAAGTTCTCTCTCAAAAATAAATCCGGACCCTATATAGTCCATTCCTGACACAACTTCAAGGATGTCTGCCCGTGACAAAAACTACTATAGATGACAAAGTTTGCATCTGGAAACTATCTTGAGAAGTAGATGAACTCATGAACAACCCTTGAGTGAGGTACCAAAAGAAAAGGTACAGGAACCCACCCATAAATAATCAACAAAGTGCAACTGTCCCATTCAAAAAAAAAAGTGCAACTGCAGTTACTTGCTATAGGATGATGAGTCAGATGAAGTAGTATGCCATCACATCCTTAGCCGTGAAACATGATGAAGGGTGGAGGCCATGGCGTGGTTTCAAGGTGCCCATGTCAGCGATGGCGAAAGGCGGCTAGGATGAGGATGCAAGCGCAGTGCTTTGAGGGCTTGGCTTCTGCGTGTCGGTTGGGCGACAGTATGGCAGAGCTGTGCTCAATGGGTGTCCGCGAAGTTGGCATGAGTGGCCGATGCGGGAGGGGGTGGACAGCAGAAGTGCTTTGCCGAGGTGGCTTGCGCAGTGACGCAGCAGGCGGTCCTGCATAGTAGTTGATCGTTTCGGTGCAAGGTCTTCGGATGGCCGTTTGAAGTGCTGCTTGACATTCCTGCTATCTTCAATAAGGCGACCTAGTTGTCGAGAGCTATGATGCGCACTTTCAGATCTCGAAGGACATGGCTGGATTGGAGGTGATCAGAGGCACTTTTTCATGTCTTCGGCTTGGCGGCTTGCAATGGACTGTGGCGGCTAGCCCTACTCGGCAGAGCTAGTCCGGTGCTGGACTGGACATTGTCGATACATGGCGCAAGCGGAATCGACGATCTGACAACTACCTGGCTTGAAGCGGCCTGAGGCGGCCAACCCTACAAGGCAACAATTGGTTCGATGTCCAACAATATCGGCAACAACGGTGCAAGCAAAGGGCAATGGTGTGTCGATATGACAACTTTGTCATCTGGGTGATGTTTTTGCAGCGTGGTAATCGGCAGGTGGGGTTGTGGTGCTTGTGGGATGGCCGTGGTCAGACAGTTTAGATGTAGTGTGGTGGTGCGGTGTGTATTGAGGTCCCAGTCCAACTGGCCACCATCTATAATCTATAATTGTCTAGTTGCTAGCTTGTTTTTTTTTGGTTGTTGTTGTGGTGGTTGCTTGACTTTTTTGAGGTCTTTGTTGCTCTGTTGTATCTGCCCAGTCTGGGTTATCACCTTTTTAATATAATCGTCAGCTCTTCTGCCTGTTTCATTTCAAAAAAACATGACAATAGCTTAAATCTAGCAAAGTAACTGACTAACACCAAAAGAGCTCCTTCTGTAAATCTCCTGCTGCTGTACATGGCTCTAAACCATCTTAACAGGAGGGAGAAATATACACGATCTAGATCTATAATTGTAACTTCTTTTCCTACCAACAGAATTGAATCCTCGTGGCAGGGAAAGCTCCATTAATTAAACAAAATTGTCTTGATTCTTCAAACTACAAAGAAACAGCAGATTTTGCAGTACACTCGATCTATGACAGGATCACTTGCCAAAACTTTTGCCCTCAAAAAAAAACTTGCCAAAACTTCATGTTTCCTGACATCCTAAATGCTCTTAAAGCCACTGTAGGTGCTGAAATAAAGGTCCATCTTGGTTTGATGTGCTTATTCTTAGTTCTCCCAACACTTTTTAGTTAATGCTGTGCACTTGCATTCATATTTTGGCTCAAGGGAAATGACAGACTGTAGGTGAAATGAAATGTATATAATCACTGATACTGTAGGTGAAATGACAGAGATACTGCGGCAATGCACAAGTTACCTTGAGAGCCTTATCAAGGATGTCCAAATAATCTTCTGTTTTTGTCCCACTCTAAAAATGCAAACAGGTGTAGTTTAGTTACAAACTCCAACATGAAACAGATGCCAAAAAATATAATACATAACAGGATAGAACGTGCAACTTACATCTAACTCGACATTTTGATCAATGTACTTCTTAACTCCGCCTATGTTGTCTCAACATAGCAGGTCCCAAGCCCTGGATAAAGGAGGAGGGTTGTGATAGGTGTGGCGAGCCAACGTTAAATCTAACCATTCTAATGGAGATGAAACCCGAAAGAAAACCGTTGGGGCGTAACCCTCTTAGCGACGCGCCATATCGGAACCCGGGTATGGTGTTAAATGAGCAAGGGCCGGGTCGTCACCCCCGTGACGCGCCATGTCGCGATCTGGGCACGGTGTCAAGTGAGCAAGGATCGGGTCGTCGCATCCTTAGTGGCGCGCTACATCGGCGCCCAGGTGTAGTGAAAAATGAGCAAGGGTCTTCACATCTGAGTCGACGGGTGCGAAGGGTAAGGAAGCTAGTCGAACCAACTAGGATCCGTTTAGGTAGTTGGAATGTAGGGTCGCTTACAGGTAAGTTAAGAGAATTAGTTGATACCGCAACTAGGAGACGTGTAAATATATTATGCGTTCAAGAGACTAAATGGAAGGGTCAGAAGGCGAAGGAGGTAGACAATACAGGTTTCAACCTTTGGTACGCAGGGACAGTCACGAATAGAAATGGAGTAGGAGTTTTGATTGATAAGAGCCTCAAGAATAGTGTGGTGGAAGTGAGAAGGCAAGGAGATAGGATTATCTTAGTCAAGCTTGTCATTGGTGATATGATCTTGAACGTAATTAGTGCGTATGCCTCCCAAGTAGGCCTCGACGAGAGTGCTAAGAGACAGTTCTGGGAAGACTTAGATGGCCTGATTAGAGCTGTACCTAGTAGTGAGAAACTTTTTATAGGAGAAGATCTTAATGGGCATGTAGGTACTACAAGCGCAGGTTTCGAGGCTGTTCATGGAGGTTTTGGGTATGGTAGTAGGAATCAGGAGGGGGAGGAAGTTCTGGACTTCGCGGTAGCTTTTGACCTGATGATAACCAACACTTTCTTTAGAAAGAGAATCTCATCTAGTGACCTTCAGTAGTGGACAACATTCTAGCCAGATTGACTTTGTCCTTGCAAGAAGAAAGGACAAACAAGCATGCTTGGGTTGCAAGGTGATACCAGGGGAGTGTGTTGTTTCTCAATATAAGCTTTTGGTGACAGACTTTCGTTTTCAGGTGCGTGCCCATAGGGATAAACAAGCTAAGATTAAAAGAACAAAGTGGTGGAAACTGAAAGGGGGAGACGTCAGAGGTATTCAGGGAAAGGGTTATCAAAGAGGGCTTTTGGAAGAAAGAAGAGGACATAAACAACATGTGGGAGAAGATGGCAACCAACATCCGGAAGGTGGCCTCAGAGGTGTGTGGAGTAACCAAAGGAAGTGGAGCACGAGGCTAAAAATACTTGGTGGTGGAACGAGGAAGTCCAAAGGGCTATTAAGGAGAAGAAAGAATGCTATAGACGCTTGTACCATGACAGGAGTGTGGACAATATAGAGAAGTACAAGGTGGCAAAGAAGACTGCAAAGGGAGCTGTAAGTGTGGCAAAGGGTAGAGCGTACGAGGATCTTTACCAATATTTGGGTACGAAGAAAGGAGAGAAGGACATTTATAGGATGGCTAGAGTTCGTGAGAGAAAGACAAGGGATTTCAACCAAGTTAAGTGCATTAAGGATGAAAGGGAGCATCTCTTGGTGAAGGAGGATGAGATCCGACATCGATGGCAAGAGTATTTTGACAAATTGTTCAATTGTGAAAATACGGACACAACCTTCTAGTTGGATGACTCTTTTGATGACACCAATAGGCGCTTTGTGTGGAGAATCCAAGAATCTGAGGTCAAAGAGACGTTGAAAAGGATGAAATGAGGTAAGACGATGGGACCGGATGGTATCCCAATCGAGGTGTGGAGATGCCTCAGGGACATAGCTATAGTATGGCTAACCAAGCTGTTCAACCATAGTTTTCGATCGAATAAGATGACTGATGAGTGGAGGAGAAGTATATTGATACCGATCTACAAGAATAAAGGGGATATTCAAAGTTGTACTAATTACCGAGAAATTAAGTTGATGAGCCATACTATGAAGCTATGGGAGAGATTATCGAGCATCGCTTGAGAGCAATAATGCGGGTATCTATGAACCAATTTGGTTTCATGCCCGGTAGGTCAACCATGGAAGCAATTTTCTTAATAAGACAAGTTATGGAGCGGTATAGGGAGAAGAAGAAGGACCTACACATGGTTTTTATTGACTTAGAGAAGGCTTATGACAAAATACCAAGAAATGTTATATGGTGGGCTTTGGACAAACATAAAGTCCCAACGAAGTACATCGGGCTCATTAAGGACATGTACAACAATGTTATGACTAGTGTTCGAACAAGTGATGGAGACATGGATGACTTCCCGATTAGGATAGGACTACATCAAGGGTCAGCTTTGAGCCCTTATCTGTTTGCCTTAGTGATGGATGAGGTTATAAGGGACATACAAGGGGACATCCCTTGGTGTATGCTTTTCGCGGACAATGTAGTGCTAGTTGATGAAAGTCGGACAAGAGTGAATCAGAAACTGGAGTTATGACGGGAGATTTTGAAGTCCAAAGGTTTTAGACTCAGTAGAACTAAAACTGAGTATATGAGATGTGACTTCGGCACTACTACTCGGGAGGAGGAAGATATTAGTTTGGAAGGTCAAGTGGTGCCTAGGAAGGATACCTTTCGAAATTTAGGATCAATGTTACGGAGAGATGGGGATATTGATGAAGATGTTAGCCATAGAATCAAAGCATGGTGGATGAAGTGGCGCCAAACATCTGGTGTCCTATGTGACAAAAGGGTATCACAGAAGCTAAAAGGTAAGTTTTATAGGATGGCGATTAGACCTGCTATGTTGTATGGTGCAGAATGTTGGCCTACGAAAAGACAACATGTTTAACAGATAAGTGACGCGAAAATACGTATATTGTGTTAGATTTGCGGTCATACAAAAAGTGATCGAGTTCGGAACAATGATATACGTGATAGATTAGGGGTAGCACCAATTGAAGAAAAGCTTGTCCAACACCGGTTGAGATGGTTTGGACATGTCCAACGAAGACCTCCAGAGGCACCGGTGCGTAGTGGAATCCTAAGCTAGGATAGTATCGTGAAGAGAGGCAGAGGAAGACCGAAGTTGACTTGGGTAGAGGCAATAAAAGGAGACTTGAAAGGATGGAATATACCCAAAGACTTAACCTTAGATAGGAGTGCTTGGAAAATAACTATTCACGTGCCTGAACCTTGATTGCTTCTGCTGGGTTTCAACTCTAGCCTATCCCAACTTGTTTGGAACTTAAAGGCTTTGTTGTTGTTGTTGTTGTTGTTGTTGTTGTACTTCTTAGCCGCATGACCCTGAAACAAAATAATATCATTTTATACAAAAAAGAAACATATCGGGCACAAGTTTGCTATTAAATGATGTAAAGGAAAATCTATGAAGAAAATGCTTTCTTTGCCCTCTACGGTTCAACAGTGAATGTGTTGAACCTCCCGGGCTACAAAACCAAGTATACTGCACCCTTGAACTTTCAAATAGTTATGCAAACAACCCCCCTAAGAGGGTGAACCCCATCACAAAATCCAAAAAAAGAACACAAACAGATGCACAGCTGTTCCTCCCACTCTCCCAATCCTCTTGCACCATGTGGTAGAGATACATCATATTAGTTTGATTACTGGCTCAAAGGCACTGCAAGTCTGTGTTAGTGAAACCATTTCCAAACATGAGGGCTAAGTTTAGGGTGTCCGAAGTCCAAACAACAGCTTACAATAGCCAATTTTGGTAGTTTTGTTTGTAAGCATATGCACTGTAATATTACAGGGAATTAATATAAGTCTTTTTCTGTTTATTGCAAATGAACACCTAAGTACCTAACTTTAGACCAGTAGTAATGTAATGCAGAAGACTGTGGCTTGAAATGAAATATAAAGAGCTACCAAAGTTATAGTTGTCACACAGACAAAAGTATTACAATTTAGACAGCTGTAACTAGCTGTCCTGTACTCCTGTGTCGACCTCTTCTTATGTAGACTAAGTATTAATTGCCAGTGCAGCGATGGATGCAGAACCAGTTATGCCATATGTGACATAATAAAGTAGATGATAATATTCCATATTTCTCAGAATGAAATATATGCTGTATCAGCAAGAACAAAAACAAGAATTCCATGGAATGGAAGGGAGGTAGCAATTAGCTGAATATCAAACAGAAGTACTCATCTGTTTCTTTTATACTTTATGTAACCAGTTAATGAACAACCCTAAGGAAAAGGTGTTGGTTGGCAGATGTAGGAACCATTTCAGGGTTAAGTACTTACAAAAGGATATATTCCAGAGTTGTACATGTCCAGGATGTAAACTCTCCCTGCAAGTGAAGAATATATTTCAATAAGCCATGAAATAGTAGCAACTACAAAATATGTGCAAGAAAACAATAGAGCACACAGCCTCTCACCATCACTCCCCAAGTCTTTTTCATGGCCATTTCCTTGGTGAGCATCTAGATCAATGATCATTACTCTGCAAACGAGATGAGTGACTCTTGGAACCAAAATACCTACATGTATTCTCATATCAATAGTTTATGTTCCTTATTATTGGAGTGCTTTTAGAAGAGTAACGAAGAACTATAATGCTTTGCTTATGAACTGCGTGTTTTGCATTAAAAAAGGAACATAATAATAGGCACGGGCGACACTACATTGAGCGGGTAGAAGTTTTTTAGCACTAGCTAGGCTCATATTCGCCATATATTTACTATGAAATAGTATCTGTTCCTTCCCTGGTGTACCAGGGCTAATTTAGAGTTGGATTCACCCTGGATAATAGGCCGACTTACTTATCTGTGCATACGGAATATACAGAAAATATGCTGCAGATGTCTAGTGCAGTTCAATAGTTATCCTACCTTGAGATATTTAAACGAACGAAAGCAAAATGGATGCACAGAGAAATATCAGCATATGCACAAAATCCACCCCCTTCCTCTGCCGAACAGTGGTGGAAGCCTCCGCCATTGTTGATAGCCCATCCTCTTTCTAGTGCAAGTTTGGCTGATAAAATGGAGCCCACCCACCTACATAAAAGGTGAAAGCTCACTTCACCATGCTTCTTGAACATAAAAAATAAACAGCCAAGGGAGCATTTAGCTGCTTCCGAAATGGATAAAGGAGTTTTTGCTGAACAAGCAAGTTAGGTAGTAATGCCACTGCTGGAACCTAGGATAAATCAGGAAATATTGATTACGATCATAAGTTTCAGGTGTATTTTGTTTCATTAGAACAAAACTCTGACTATACTAATGTCATTTTTTAGTACAAAATCTTAATCACAAGTAAGTAGTGAGTACTTTCGAATAGGATCCAATAACAACACTTTTGTATCAAAAAAGGCTTGTCCCAACGAAACCAAATGCACCTTACATATTTGAACAGAAGGGGGTGTAATAACTTCATACAATTTTAGCAAAATGAATGACCGAGCAGATTGGTTTGTAACAGAGAAATCTGCAGATGGTCAAATGCTTTAGAAACCATCATGCTTTCCATGATGCAGAAGACAATTTTGTGAGTGTTACAGGCTTATAACATGCAAACGGTCACACTGTCAAATATGCAATACTGAATTTAGCTGTACCTCTACAATGCGAGCAACCTTCACACTGCTCTTAAGGCTGCTAAGTACGACTCTGAGTGCACCTGATTGGGATAGGCCACAAACGATAAATGGTAAATTTACACTGCATCCTACAGTACAAGTCTGCTACGCATCACGTGAACAGCAGCTGCTTATTACGCACCACTAGCAGATCATCTTCGGAGGCTTCCAGCGGCTCGATGATCCGATCGTTCTGGAGGAGCCCCGCGTCGACGAGGAAGTTGTGGACACGACCCCATTTCGCCGAATCAAACGGGTGCCAGCACGAGCGCGTCAGAAAGGGGTGGTGAATTACAGCGCCGCGACGCGATGTGGTGCAGTGGGGTTAAACGTGTGAAGTATGACATATTGCTCAGTCACTGCTTCTCGATCCCGTTGAACTCGATGTCGTACGCGGCGAGTAGACCACGGGTGCCTGCGCGAACGGCATGCGGTTGTCACGACCCACGGCGGCGAAGTGGGAGGAGAGAGAGGGGTTGGGGTGACGGACCTTGGAGCTGGGGACGCCGTCGACGTAGAGGCGGCTGGAGAGGATGCGGCCGCGGCGGAGAGCCTCCGCTGCCGATGGATCCCCCGACGTCGACGCCATCCACGCCTCCGAAAGGAGATTAGTTATGGTTCGGTGTTGATTTGACGAACAGTACCCAGTAGGACAGGGTTTGTAGAAGTGATTGCCGCTCTGCTCAGCTCTTTCCGAAGGTCCGCAAGTGGACGGATGGTCAGTCAGGGCAGCGCAAGGATTGGTTATACCGGTGTTTGGTTCCCGCTTCTCTTCCACGTATAAACCCAAGAAACTTACTGATATTTGACGGTGGGTGCCGTGCTAAAAACTTAAGCAGATTGTAATTGCCATATAAAGTGTGGGGCAGCAAAAATTAAAACTACACTTATGATAAGATTTAACAAAAATACTACTTCTTCCGTTCTAAATTATAAGTCGCTTTGATTTTTTTTAGACATCGAACTTGCTATGGCCCTGTTCACTTGTCTTATAATCCGTACTTTTCAGCTTGTTTTTTCAGCGGAAACCATGTTTTTCTCTCCCAACAAATCAGTCGGAACAGTGTTTCTCGCCTCGTTTTTTTAGCAAAACGAACGGGGCCTATGTATCTAGATATACGTTATGTTTAGATACACAATAAATCTAATATACTTAAAAAAAGACAAAAAGACTTATAATTTAAAACGGAGGTGGTAAGAAGGTGGGGTGTATCATAGTTGTGGCGGTATATCAAACAACTACCTAAAAAATTTTATATGGCTATCTTTGTGCTGTGGCAACTTATGGTCATGCACCAAACAGGCCCTTAGAGTAACTCCAATAGTAGCTCCTAAATCAAGGCCCCCATTTTTTATTCGGGTGCCCACCCCTAATTTTGTTGGTCCAAATTTGCTCTTCCACTCCGGCAGTAGCCCCAAAACAAAGCCTCCCAAATTCCTTCCCATAGCCACTGACACCGTGGGGCCTACCTATCAGTGGGACTCTCCCTCTCTCTCTTTTCTTTGTGTTCAGTGGATCAGGTCGGGTCTTGTTCCTCGATTCCTCCCGATCCATGCGCAGCCGAGCTTGCACCTCCGCCCGCCTCCTCATCCTCCCTCACGAAGATGCAAGCTTGACAAGCTCTGCCTCCTCCGCCTATCGCCTCTCATCATAGAGTCTCGCGCCGAATCTGCCTCCTCCTCCCAGAACCCTAACAGCAACCAAAGCTCGATACCACTTGTTACTGAGCGGCGTCAATATGAGCTCAAACCTCCTCCTCCTCCTCCGATGTGCAGGGGAAAAACCACGCCTCCTCCTCAAGAGTTTTGGGTTACGCCCTGGCGGTCGAGCTCACGCACCTAGCAAGGTGTGTATATACCGCCTGCGCCCGCCCAACTCTTGTCGTTCGCGGCTGATCTCCTCCCTCCGCTCCACTTCGCCCGCAAGCTAGCTTGTCGCAACCCAGGTTTGTAGAGAGAGAGCACGTGGTCAAATGGGAGCCCCATGCTCATTTTTGTGAGTGTCAGGGGAGATCTAGCTGCCTAAAAGGTCCTTGTTTGGTTTTGGTAATTGAGTGACAACCTAGGTGGACTAATTATGTTTAATCTGAGATACACAGGTAATTAGTCCACAGGTACATGTGTATGAGCAACGCATGCCATGGAGGTGAAAATGGTTCGGAGATGTTGCAAAGCTCACACATGTGATGAAGGAGCTCATTGCATATGAGCCATGACATTGAGTCATGTGACTAAGGTGGAGAAGATCAAGACAAGACTTGGCTCGACGCCATGCCTCCGAAAGGAGATTAGTTATGGTTCGGTGTTGATTTGACGAACAGGTTACAAGTGTGAAGGGCAAGTTGAGTGATGACTTGGCGGTGGGTGCCGTGCTAAAAACTTAAGCAGATTGTAATTGCCATGGACCGAGCAAAAATTAAAACACACGGAGAAGAATAAGTGAAATCAAGATCGATGAACCAATACGGTCATGTGATGATATGAAGTGGTGTTGTGAAAAGAGTGCTAATCCTTTGGAAAATGTTTGTTAAAAGCTAACACATGTGCACAAGGTGGTATTCACTTGGTGGTGTTAGCACATTTCACGGGCCTCGTGCCTTGCCATCAGCCCAAGCACGGCCCATTCAATAGTAGCGTTTTTTATTCCATTGGTCCAAATTTGCTCTTCCACTCCGGGGGCCCACGACAAATTGCGCAGCAGCCAGAGAGAGGGGAAGGGAGGAAGTGAGCGAGGGACAGCCGGAGATCGTGGGCGTTCCTCGGATCCATGCGCTCTGTGGCTGGATCTAGCGTCCCTCGGCCGACTCGTGGCCGATCTCGCGTCCTCCCGGCCGAGCTTGGCAGCCGCCTCCTCCCGGCCGGTTGAGCTCGCACCTCCGCTCCCACAACTGGCCGAGGCGGCTTGACGCCAAGGGAGGCGATGGCGGCGCTTCGGCGTTGATCCCATAGCGGACTAATTATGTTTATGGAGGGATTAGTCCACAGTACATGTGTATGAGCAACGATGCCATGGAGGTGAAAATGGTTCGGAGATGTTGCAAAGCTCATGGAGCTCATTGCATATGAGCCATGACATTGAGTCATGTGAGGAAGATCAAGACAAGACTTGGCTCGAGGCGTTAGCGGCACGCAGTGATGACTTGGCGGCCGAACACGAGGTTGAATAAGTGAAATCAAGATCGATGAACCAATACGGTCATGTGATGATATGAAGCGGTGTTGTGAAAGAGTGCTAATCCTTTGGAAAATGGGAAGGGTGCAGGGTGGTATTCACTTGGTGGTGTTAGCACATTTCACGGGCCTCGTGCCTTGATCAGCGAAGCACGGCCCATTCAACTGACGGGGTCACCGGAGGGGGAAGTAGCCCGCGTGGCTCCGTCGTGGCGTCGCCGAGCTGAGATGAATCTAGCGTCGGGAGGAGCTCGGACTCTCGGCCAGCCTTCGTTCCATGGGGGGGAGAGTGGAGGAGTTAGGGTTCCCAGGGTGGGATGGGGCTTCTGGCGCTGCTGCTGGGAGAGCTGCCATGGCACGCACGAGGCGCGCTCTTGTGTGCGGCTTATATATGAGGAGGGAGGCCAACGGGGGTCACCGATGTGGGGCCGACGGGGGTCGGTCAGCCGGCTGGGCCTTGGGGGGAGTGTAGGAGGAGTGAGGAGGGGGGGAGGGGGTGGCTGGCCACGGCCGGGCGGGTCGACTCGGAGGGGAGGCCAAGCTGGGCTATGGGGATTGCACCCAGCAGCCACGGGAGGGTGGAGGAGTGAGGAGGGGCACGGGCCTGCTGCCTCCGGTCGGCCGGGCCAGCCGTGCCCGTATGTCACCGGGCCGTGCCCGTGCACGTGCGCCTCGGGCTAAAAAGCGGGCTTCGTGTCGTGCTAAAAAGCGGGCTTCATGCGGGCTGCATGGACAACTATGCTTGAGAAGATTATTAGATCATGTAATCCTAACTAAATTGTAGTTCTCTATCTGTATTCGTCCGTTTCCATATGTCCACAATCCATATACCATTTCCGATCATGGTTTTTTCGAACTCGGTCATGTTTATGCCAAAATATATAGAAACAAAAAATAGGAGAGAAGTTTTCATGTCCGTTTATGTCCATTTTCATCCCTAGTTATCTAGATGTCATGCAAGGTGGAAGGGCTTAGAGTTAGTGATGGAGCTTAGAGATAGATAAGGATATAGCAGTCATGAGACGCTTGCTAAAGAGGACTTGGAGCCATAAGTCAGCTCCATAAGGTTTGGCTCTCATACTTACCTTCCATGGACTCCCTACACCCATTGAAGAGTGAAGATCGCCATGGATCCACCTAGAGAGGTTGAAGGTGATGCTTAAGGGATGGAGGATCTTCATGTCTTTAAGACTTAACTAGTGGATTGGGGAGGATGAGAGATTTGGGGATGGAGAGATTGGGGAGGAAACCCAAGGTCTAAAGTATAATTTTTAGACATTTATCTTAAAAAAATCAATGATTATTATGATATTTGTAAAAAATTGAGCTTATTAAATTTAGACGAACAGGTCCACCGTATGAAATCTAAATAGTTGAACTAGACTCAAGTTCATAATATAGATACAATTTGACTAGGTCAACCTTTTTCCAAATTCTAATAAGGTTTGTAGGCCTTCTTACTTTCTTTCTTTTCTGACACGTGCTTGCATTGGTTGGCCACTGGGCCTTGGTTACAAACATCACGAGACCTTGCCCGTCACGCGGTTTGTTCGTCTATCATCATCATCCGACGGTGATCTTTATTAGGTTGCATGCACCTACTAATTCAATCTAAAAGCTTAAATTGATGGGGAGAGGTGGGCAAATTACTTATATTCCAATACTCCCCTCACGTGGAGGCTCCCTTAGGCCTCAAACGTGGAATAGGAGCGAGCAGCAATTATTTTATTTAATTACGCTAACCAGAATTCAAACTTAAGACCTCTGACTCTGATACCATATTAAGTTGCATGTACCTACCAATTTTAACCCAAAAACATAAGCTAAAGAAGGGGTGGACAATTCACTTATATGTTCAACAATCTTCCGTGCGTGCTCACAAATTGTACTACCACGCTTGGTGAACGAAGCCTGGCGACTTCGCAGGATAAGATAGGACTCTGAGATGTTTGGTCAGCCGATGAAATTGGTATGTGTATCTCCCTTGCTCTATATTATGAGACCAGTGGGAGTGGGTTGGTTGTTGCACATGACGATGTCTCAATGCGTGTATCCATGACCACTTGCACCGGCATGCATGTGCGTGTTTGAACAGAGCAATTTTTACAATGATAATAGTATTGTAAACTAACCAGATAGGAGATATTTTTTATTCTTTTTGTTTAGCTTTTTTTTAGATACATAGATTTTTACTGCTACATGTTAGATTTAATGTGGGCCAGGCCCATATATTATCTAATTAAAACAAATAAATTCTAAGGTCCGTATTAAATAATGTGCATAATATTATTTAGTTCCATACGGGATATTAACTGGATGTTGACTCGACTTATATGTGCGGGCTGTGTCTGCTTACGTTGGATGGTTGAGTGAAGGTGTGGCCGTGCCATGCCATGGCCAACGCAATGCATGCGGTGC